CTCTCTTGCTCTAAAAGTTTTGTTCTGAAAAAAATGACTTCAAGAGCTTAAGTGAGATCTTTTTCATCGAGTTTCATGGCTCTTTCTAGTCTTACCAAAACGGATCAGAAGTTTTCTTAAGAGGACAGATGTGTTATTTCGTAATTGCATTTCAATCCAGTCGAACTTTCATATCTGTTGTATGGAGATCGAGGGGACAAAGTTTGGTAAGGCTAACTATAGGAGTAAGATGTATCAGCAAAAGTTTATAACGTTTTATAAGTACTAAGAGTCTAGACTTGTGCTTCAAACATTTTCGTGAGCTGTGATGTATGACGGCATAGACTGCTGACGTTATTAGCGATGAGTTATGATACAAAAACTGTATAAGTGTTGAACGAGTATTATATAAATACACACAAACCAATTCTACTTGTGATGTTTTGCGCTTTGATGTTGGTTCGTATTTCTTTGATTGAAATTCGTCACATTCCATGTACCATTGGTGGATACATTATAAACATTGCAAACTACGCTGTTCGCTATGTGCTGTCATGGCAACTGACAGCAAAGTTCGTTCTTCAGATGGATACATTACCTCAATCTTTATGATTCTTTCCTACTTCTTGTGCTCATGAATTTAAATTTAAATTATTGTTATTAGTAAAATCATCGGAAGTTGGCTGTCGATGTATTAATTTGCTTCTGTTGTAGAGAATTTGCAAATGTTTTGCTTTCGTCGCCGCTGCAAGTTGGGCTCGTACCCTGCATCTCCTTGTGCTGCGCCATATTCACCATCTTCGTCGTATCCCATTCAGCAAAATCTACCTCAGAACCCTCCTCCGTACCCGATAGAGCCCTTATCGTGCCCAATCTCCTACTATCCCAGCAATGTAAACGGTCATGGTCCAACAAGTGCTCTAGATCAGTTGGACGAAAGGCTTACAAATGAGCTAGACGGGTCGAATCATTACAACCGCGTAAGAGACCCACGTATACCTCCTCCACCGGGAGTAGTAGTGGTACAGGTAATGATTCTATTAGGAGCGCATTTACTTTAAAGAGTGTATATGAGTGTTATTATTTAGATGCTCCGACCTACAGCGCCTCCCCTACCTACAGTAACTTCTCAGCCTACAGCACCTCCTTATATCGAATCTACTCCATCATACTGCATGCAAATGCATCAGCAGCAGCACCTTTATCCAAAGCTATCGAGCAAGGATCAAGAGTACGCCGATGAACAGCGAGTTGTACAGAAGTGAATTACAGGTTTCAGCCAGGATGCCTAAATTTTTCTTTCTTACAGATGCACATGTCTTTTTCCATTCCTAATATGAATGTACTATATTTTAGAATTCTGTTCATTTTTTGTTTGAGACAATTCATATAAGATTGTCCAATATTTGGAGACAGGGCGTAGACTACGCATTTGAAATTCTACGCCATCTAATGCAGTACTTGCAAGATTTTTCATATTATCTTACAATGTCCCCATGAATTGTTGTACTTCCTTTTTTTCTAGTCTCCATCATGAGATGATACATCATTTCTTCCAGCAGATCAGCAGGTTTCCACAACATTAGCTTGTAAAAAATTTTCTTCTAACTCATGAAATCCAATGATTTACGGTTAAAATCAATAAAGATTCTAGTCCAATCACAATTTGTACATCTTTTCAACTATTAGTGGAAAGCGATGATTAAACATTCTCCTCATCATTATGCTATAAACAGAAAGCAGTTTTGCGGATTTGCAATACATAGGCACTCTCCCAAACTATACCTTTTGCTTCTCTTCGAATTGTCAGTCAATGAATTTCTGCCGATTACAGTTAGTTGAACAAATTTTCTCACCTGAGAAATTGATCGTGAATTTTACGAGTCAATATTGTAAGATGTACAATGCTTGCAAGAAATGTTGAACTTTATTCAAAGTTTGAAAGGGATCCTTTTACTGCATTACTCTACGACTTCCCTTTTGAATGGTGATCATATTTCCAATGATATCGTACAGAGTTTGCCACGCTTGACATATATC